AAAAAAAAAAAAAAAAGAGGAGAGGAGGATGGAGCTTAAAGAATTTGGTGATCTGTCATGGTGTAGTATGAGTTATAGCCTGACAACGCCAGGAACTTTCTCGTTCTAAATTCTCAGGCCCAGAGCAAAAAGGTCCAGAAAAGGCTTTTTTTTACCTTTTGCTAATAAAAAATGCAATGCCCCCAGCAGCAGTGTGGAGAGTCCTTGGGCCACTGTCTTGGACATGAGGAGACTCTGCTGGCCTGGGCCCACCTCTTGCAGACTTCTGTTTGTACAGCTTGTCTTAAAACCACAGTGAGTCCTTCTTGTCCTACTTGGGCCACCCTGTAAATACTTCAGTTGGCACATTATTTAGAAAGGAATAAGAAGCTTATGTCTCACCTCTTCCTACCCATCTCCATATCCTGTGCCAATCTGCTGAGCTAGGACCACAGGCTTCTCTCTGGAGTCCTCTATCTCCCTCTCTCTTCCAGGGACAGAGAGAAACCTTGGTCATAGTCCAAGGCCAATGAGAGGCTTCTGACCTTCAGCTTAATTCAGTAGGTGACATCCTCATCCTTAGCCGTCCCCCCTAGCCCCACTGCCTTCAGGTTTGCTCTTGTGAATGGATGCTCAGCCACACGAGAGGATGGAGCTGGAGCAGCAGAACCCTCAGAAGTGAAGCAGACATCACCTCACACATCTCATCAGCTCATACAGAATCACCCGAAGTGCTGGAAACAGCACTTGGCTTTGTCCCTCCCCACTTCAAGCAGGTCCGTAAAAGCAAAAACGACCTCGTTCTGCGCTGGAGGAACTATTCGGATATTAAATTATTCCCTGTCCCAGATCTTTCGTTGGCCCATCAGTGAAGAATCTCGGATTTTCATGCAAACCTCCCACAGTTTCGGACTGCACGCCTCTTGCTGCCCGGTCCTCCCTGACCCTGGCCCCTTTCCTTCCAGAGGGACCACCTGGGGAAGGCAGTTTTGGATCACGGGTAGTTGTCTGCACTGGTGTTACCAGAGAGCTGGGCTCCAGCCTCCCAAGCAGTAAAGGTAGGGGTAGTAAGGGTAGGTGTTATGCACAGAGATGAGGGAGGCCCGCGAGAAGCCTTCCTCTTTCCGAGCTGGTAAGGAGGCTTGTTTCTCCAGGTCCCCCAGGTCCGAGCTGAGCTGCTTCCGCTTGGTCTTGTAGCGTCTGTTCTGGAACCATATTTTCACTTGGGTCTCTGTGAGCTTGAGGTTCTTGGCCAGGTGAGCCCTTTCAGGGGCTGACAGGTACTTCTGGTGGCTGAACTTCCTCTCTAACTCAATGACCTGAGTGTGGGAGAAGGCGGCTCGGGAGCGCTTCTGCGGCTGCTTGGGGGTCTGGGGCCGGCTCGGTAAGGCGCCCGGAGTGTTTTCACAGTCCAACAGATAAGTCCCCAAGTGCCTATCTGGAAAGGAGCGGGGAGAAGCAGGGATGGGAAGGAAAACGTTACATGGTAGCAGAGAAGAGAACAGAATTCAATCCACCCTTATCTGTTTTTCTGGTGAGTGAACAAACCACCCACTGTCAGCTTGGATACACTGCACTTTTTTCACATGACCAAGGGACTCCCCGAGTGGGGAGTGAGTGAATACGTAGATTATGTATTAGTTTTCCAATAGCCATCAAGGACCCAAAGTGGGAGAGGTTAGTGGTAGAACTTACTGCCACATCGCCCAGTAGAATTCAATAGGGATTCTGGATGTGTCTTGAGGAGCAGTGGTAGAAGGGAGGCAGGGAAGACTTAGAAATAAGATACCCAGTAAAGTGGGACCCAGAGGCATCCGGTGTGAACATGCGGGTGGCAAGAGAGGGCTTGTGTGCAGGAGAGTTCATTCTCTGGCTTTAACCCCTCTTTTTTTCTAAATGAGCCAAGCCATACGGATGCCTGGTAAGAAGGGGGTCAATTGCATGGTGACGGCTGGTACCTAGACTTATTGTGGCAATCACTTTGTAGTATACAGATACCGAATTACTATGTTGTACACCTGAAACTAATATAGGGTGATGTACCAAGGTTACCTCAATTAAAAAAAAAAACCTGATAGGAGAGAAGAGTGGTCTACGCTAAATGTTCTGACGGTTGTATCTCCCGAGGACCAGAGGGACTCCTAGATTTGCTGTTTCATTATCCGTGGGACTGAGAAGCAAAGGGAATCTTTGCTGGTCAAACTCTGTTTTATTAATATTAATAAGTTATTATCAGTAACTTGTTACATGTTTTTGTTAATGCCAAGAGGTAACGCGGGGCTGGCGCCAAGCAAGGGTCGCGCAGTGGCTGGGAGCGCGTGTCAGGGTTTCCATCTGGGTCACCGGAGCATCGTGGGGCTGCGTGAGCGCCAGCCTTTGAGCCTCGGGCGCCACGAACCCGCGGCGCAGAGCACGGCGCGGCGGGGAATCAAGCGCATGGCTAAATCCCGCGCCGCCCTGACGCTGGGGCTCAGGGTTCATCTCTGAGGCGCGCCCGCGGCAGAGGCGGTGAGGTCCCTCCGCCTGCGGCCGCGGGGCCCCGCATCCCTGCGGCCGGAGCTCGGAGAGGCCCGCCCAGCACCCGCCCTCACGCCCATGCAGCCCGCGGGCTGGCCCGCCCTTCTTGTGGGACTCACCCCGGCCAGCCCGGCCTCCCCAGCCTCGCCGGCTTACCTGCCTCAGTCTCCGCCGGCGGCTCGGCCTCCCTCCGCGCGGCGCGGGGCCGGGCGCTCGGCTGGTCCTCGGGCGCCCCGGCACCGCCCAGTCCTTCTTCGGACTCCGGCGCAGGTCTCGCCTCGGGTCGGGCTGGCGCGGGGGCTGCGGCTGCGGGTTGCCCGCTGGGCCTTCGTGCCGCTCCGCGCCG